GGAGGAGAGAGGCAGAGACACAGGCAGAGGGAGAAGCAGGGTCCATGCAGGGAGCCCGACGTGGGACTCGATCCCGGGTCTCCAGGATCACACCCCGGGCTGCAGGCAGCGCTAAACCGCTGTGCCACAGGGGCTGCCCTGAATGGTTACTATTACTACAGATTATATTGAGAGCTAAAATTTACAAAATATTTGCCTGTGAGGTGTTGTGCTAAACAATTTATAGGGATTGTCTCATTTAATCCTCACCATCATGGAGTCTCACTATCATAGTGTTCATTTATTATCTGTAAGTCAGGCAGCCCTCATCTGTAAAACGGAGAAATAGTACATAACTTCAGGGGCTATTATGAAGATTAAATGAGATCATTCATAGACAGTCCCTAGAATAGCATCTGTAACATAGTGAATTTCATATTCTTAGCAGTAATTTTTATTACTTTGTAGATGAAGACACTCAGTCTCCTTCACCAACTGCCCTACTCACCATCACCTCTAACTTTAACTGTTTCTATTGCCCAGACCCAAAGGAGGAGATAAAAGAAAATGGAAAGTTACTATTTCAAGACTTTCTCTGTAGGTATTTGAACTCTAGCTCCAAGGAAGGTGTGTCATAATTGTGGCAAGATAATTAACCTTTAAAATCCTTTCTTCTGGGATCCCTGGGTGGCGCAGCGGTTTGGCGCCTGCCTTTGGCCCAGGGCGGATCCTGGAGACCCGGGATCGAATCCCACATCGGGCTCCTGGTGCATGGAGCCTGCTTCTCCCTCTGCCTACGTCTCTGCCTCTCTCTCTCTCTGTGACTATCATTAAAATATATATATATATATATATATATATATATATATATATATTTAAAATCCTTTCTTCCTGTTCTTTCTGTCCTCACAAGTAGGCTTTTCCCATACAGGCAATTAAACATACATACTAGTGAAATTCTGTTGAGTGGGATGGAGATGAGGGATGATAACTGAAACTTTACAGTTTGGGGGACTTCAGAATAAAGGAGTCATTTCTTTCAGGCTCTAATGAGAGGCGTGAAGGCAGCAAGGTAGCCAAATTCTAGTTTTCCATGCCCAAGTCTGTACAAGAGCAGAAAATACGTGTCCTGTGATTAAGCAGACAGCTCCAGGTAGCCTCACAGAGTTCCCTTTGCAACGTTATGGCGAGGAAGCAGCACAACAATCCCAAGCTCTTAGATGGGCAGGAAGCAGAATTTCTCCTAGTCCACCGCAGTATGAGGATGTCTCCTACCATTGCAGAATCTATGCTGTCTGGTTACCAGAACTCATTCTTCTTCCTCCTGGGCACACAGCTAAATAACATTTCCTAGCTTTCCATACAGTTAGTGGGAAAAATGGTACTGCCTTTTTTTTTTTTAGGATTTTATTTGAGAGAGAGTATGCAAGTGTACACAAGTCTGAGGGGGGGCGGGGGGGACATAGGGAGAAGCAGACTCCTCACTGAGCTGGGAGCCCGATTGGGATCGTGCCCTGAGAAGGAAGACACTTAACTGACTGAACTGACTGAACCACCCAGGCGCCCCAAAGTGGTACTGACTTTAAGACCTACATAAACTTCCATGTGAATTCTCTTCCCTTATCTGTATGTTGAATGTATATGAGTCAGTAGGGGACACATGACTCTAGAAAATGGCAGAGTTGCTGAATCAGGGGTTCTTAACCTGCAATTTTATAATAGAATTTAGATTATGACTGGGGATTTGGAACAGAAATATCCATATTTTCATTAACCTCTAGCTGAAATTTAGCATTTCCTTCAATTATGAATGTAAGCACCAATGCATACGAGGACTAGCATTACTTGTGGTTTAGTCACCAACAAAAATACCTAAACCATAGGTACTTTCATATTATATTACAGCTGTTGAAGGTATCTCAAAATATCATTTATAACCAAATTTTCTTTGAAGTAACAGTAATTACTAGGCCCACTGCTTGATTTTTAAATTTCATATGCTAACGAAGAGGCACATACATAACAAATTTATTTTAAAATAGCTTGATAACTGTATTTCAGTAAAACTGGTTTCCTTTGAAATCCTAAATGATTTGTCTGCCTTTTAAAAAACAACTTTCTTAGAAGAGATCCCTTGGCTTCACTAGATTGACACAGAGGTTATAGGGAAAAAAAAAAAAGTAAGAACAACTGTTCTCAATGGATTTCTGAATGACTTTATAGAGTAGGGCCCCACTTTTCCTCTTCCCTTCACATCCCTACCACACTGCTGACTGACCCATCACTGGACTGTGATGTAAGAAATAAGTTCTTATTTTGTTAACTTACTGAGATTGAAGGTTATTTATTTATTATTTTTTTTTAGGACAGTTAGCCTATGTAGACTAATCCCCTTGCTACCAAAATGGCCCAAACATGGCAGAGTATAGAGACCTTAAGAGGCTTCTGGGTAGAAAGGACCCAGAGGTGAATAGTGAAGACCAAAGATTAGATGGGGCCAAGGAAGAGGACAGAGCAGATATCAACCTGGAAGGATACTACAGGAATCATCTCCTTCAACTTAGTAATATAAAGAAACATTTTAACTAGCCCTGAATTTGGACACTAACATTTTAATTGTCACACAATAATTTTCTTATTTCATAATATATATTATTTTCTCTTCCCCTATTAGGATGACAATCTTTTTTGTTTCTCATAGCAGATATTAAGCACTTTTGAATTCATCAAAGTATGTGTATATATGTGTATATATACACACAAATGTAAATATATGTAATATAAAGTATATAAATAACAAAATATTTAAAAATATATGAATCCTTTATATATATGAATATATATAATTTATTCATTATTTTAAAGCAATCTTCAATTAGCTCTGTTTTAAAATCCTTCTTAGCTACAGTGTAACAGCGGAAGAGAAGGCAGCAACCACGAAGATGAGATCAATATTACATAAGTCCTATTTAGTGATTTGAACATTGGTAATTTTTTAAAGGCTTGCTGATATAAATGAAAGTCTTGACAGAGCTCTCAAGATTTTTTTCCTGCTTTTCAGTTTTCATTTTAATTCCAGTTAGTTCACATATAGTGTTATAGGAGTTTCAGGTGTATAGTATAGTAATTCAACACTTCCATACATCACTCTGTGTTCATTATAAGAGCATTCCTTAATCTCCATCATTTATCTAACCAAGCCCCCACCTCCTTCAGGGTTTTTAATTTGACAACACTTCTCTTAAGGCATTTAGTTTTATTTCATTTTACCTTCCCTTTTAGACTGTTTTGCTGCCTTTATCTTAAACTTAGACTAAATCAATCAGTCATTTTGAAATGTTCATGTTGTTAAAAACCAGATGCAAAGACTCTTCTGAGATTAGACTCTTTCTAACCTCTATGAAATTACTGTATCTAAATTTTTATAACTTATGGAACTGTATGTGAATGATAATAAAATAGGGTTAGTGTGCAATACAGTTTGGGTTTCAGCATTAAAAGTCGTAAAAAAGTTAAGTGTTACATAATGCAAACATCAACCTGTCCAGATCATAACTGTGTACCAACCCTAACCGTCATGCCTGGTAAGAAAAAATATTTAAGAATGAGTAAATCAAGCAGCATTTATTTTAACTGTATGCAGTGTCTATCACTCATGATTGGACCTTAAGGTGAGGTGATTAGGTTTAGAAGTTAAACCTTCCGAGTGGACAGTAGCTCATGATCCTTGAAATTCTTAGGGTGTTAGAAAGTCCTGATGGAAATTCAGTCTTTTAAAACTACTTTTTAGTGGCTGCTTAGTATTAGCATTAATGTATTAGGAAGTATACTAACTTTCACACATTCAAAAGAGTAAAGAATAGCACAATGACCCCTCCCCCCAAGTACTCACTGCCAACTTCAACAATTAGCCTATGTTGCCATTCTTATTTTATATATTTCTCCCTCCCTAACTTTTTTCCTCTCTTTTTGCTGGAAATTTTAAAGTAGACTTGAGACCTCATTTTCTTTCACCTTTAATTATTTTAGTAAGTAGCTATAATAAATAAGGACTTAAAAAAAATACAATACCATTTAGTTCACCAAACAAAATCACTGACAATTCCTTAGTAACATAGGTTCATGTTCACAAATTTTGCTTGATTATCTCAAAATGCCTTGTATTTGATTTATTTAAATCAGGACCCAAACAATGTCCATGATGGTTACTTTTGGATAACATATCCCTAAAGTTTATTTTAATAAGTCTCTCCTCCCCTTTTTAAAATGGCAATTATTTGTTTGTTGAAACCAAGCATTTTTTCTGTAGAAATTCTCTCTCTGTATTTAGCTGGCTGAATCATGGCACAATTTAATATGTTCCTGTATTTTTTTCTTAATAGAAATGGTAGCTAGATCTAAAGAATACTGTTTGGATTCAAGATTAATTTTACACACACACAATCTCCTTTTGGCAAGAATATTTCATAGGTGTTACTGTGCAATTCGTATTACATTAGGAGGCACATAACATTGGTCTCCCTTCTAGAGATGTTATACTTGCCCAGTGACTTCAAGCGTTGTCAATCTGATCCACAATTACAAGTGCTTCAGCTTTCAAGTAGTAGTTATTAGCCACTGATAACGGTTGGCTAAATCTATGATTTTTATCAGGAGTTACAAAATAGTGATTTTATAATTCTACCATTCTTTCTGCATTTATTAGCTGTAATCCTGTAAGAAATTTCTTTCACCAACTATGTGGGTACCCTGAAATATAATTCACACTAAAAAAGCTGGATAAATGCTGGTTTCTTTTACTCCGTGCAATCTACTTTTAGCTTATAAGTAGGAATCCTATTAACTTGCAATAGTGAGCAATGAGTTCCCTCCAATCCACTCTACTCTCCTCCCCAAGGTCACCAGGTGGTCCAGCAGGTCTAGCCTGGGATGGGATAGGATGGGATTGGGCAGGCCCAGGGTGTGACGCAGGAACTTAGGGTAGAAGGGGCTGAATCAGGACAGAATACCTTAAGCAGGTTCTAGGAGGTGGAATCTGAATCTTCTGAGCTGTTCTGGACATCGGTGCTCTCCGTGGACTCGCTGGGTTCCTTGCTGTCACTGCCGCCATTGCCAGCGGCGGGGCTCTCCTCCTGACCATCCTCTCGAGAACTAGGAAGTGTGTTTCCCTGCGTTTCCTGGTTTTCCCCGGAGCCCAACACCACGCACCCGCACTTCTTCAGCTCCAGCTGCCTTCTCAGCTCATCTGCCATCTGCGAGAGATCTCGCTTCATAGCGTAAGCATCTTCCCCGTCTGCATAGTATTTGGGTTCCACCTCACTAACCTGAAAGTTGAGGGTGTTAGAATACAGGTGCAAGGCTGCTCGGTTACTCTTCCGGACATGCAGGAACACGTACTTGGCACTAAAGTTCTCTATCATGGCCCGGGAGGCCTGGTCCATCAGCTTCTGGGCCAGGCCGAGGCGACGGTGTGAACGCTTCACGGCCAGTGAGGTGATATGCCCATGGGGGACGTCGTCTGGATCCTCCTCCATTTTGGCCAGGACGTAGCCCACAATCTTCCCGTCCTCGTCCTCAGCAATGTACGAAAGCTGGGGCCAGGAAAGGCCATGGTAGAAATAGTATTTCATCTGGTAGTTCTCAGGCAGGCAAAGGAGGTTGCAGTGCTGCATGTTAACCAGGTCGTCTGGCCGAGCATTGCGGATGTTCATAACGGCGGCGGGGAAGAGAGGGGAGTCGGCCGACGGTGGCCGGGGCAGAGGCCGCCACCTCGTACAGGCGCCACTCGCCGCCTCGAGGGCCCGGGGCAAAGCGCGGGGGACGCCGGAGGGCGGGAAGCCAGGACGGCGGGAGACGGAAGGGGCGGCGCTACGACGCGGCTCTCGGAAGAGCGCCACCGGCCCCAGCCAATGAGGGCTCGCGCGGGGGCGGAAGCGCGGTGCGCGCGAGGCTGGGGGGCGGGGCGGGGTGTGCGCTGCCCTAGGGCGCCGCCGGTTTGGCCTCTGCTGTTCCGTGTGTTGCTGCTGCTGAAGCCATCAGGGATGGCTCCTTGATTTGGATACGTCTGGGTGAACTTTGGTGACCTCAAAAAACCCGGATGACCGGAATGCAGGTCAAGAACCAGAACGTTGCTCACGCTCCGGAAATTCCCGCTCAGATCCCCTTCCGGCACCCCCGCCCAGGAGGCCGTCGTCGTACCCGTGTACCTGGATTTCCGACAGTCTCTGTGTAAACGGAGCCTTGGTGCATACGAGCTTTTTCGTCGAGGTCTCATTTCCACGGGTATTTGTTTCAGCTACTTTGGGTGCAGTTGGGAGTTCTTCGTCTTCTTTCCTGTTTGATATTCCGTTGCCCGAATACGTCACAATTTACTCAACCATTCTACTGTGGTGGTTTGTATTCTTTCCATTTTGGAGATATAGTGAGGAGTGTAGCTGAACGTTCTGGAACATGCGTGTTTACCCAGGATGAGAATCGCGTAGTATCCGGAGATATCATGATGTTCACCTTTTATAAATACTCGCAAGCAGTTTTCCGAAGTGGTTGCTCTGTGACCTGACCCCCCCCCCCCCCCCCCCGTGTGCAGCAAAGCCAGTCATCACGGAGACATCAGGTCTGCAGCGAGGGAAGTGTGTTGGAGAAAGAACTGAAAACGGAGATGGGCAGACAAACCTGCAATTTGCCTTCCCAGGGAGGAAAGAACAAAAATCCCTACGATTTTCTATGAACAGTGGGATTGAGGTTTATTTATATTGATGAAAAAGGTGGGAAAACAGGAGGAAAGATGGAACATGTACACTGAATAAACGTATTTGTAACGTACGTCTCATGGGCACCTCGGGAGTGGAAACATCAATCAGGAGGCTAAATTCAGTTCCTGAAATCATGAGGTGGTCTTAAGATGAAGAAGGAGAAGGGGCTATGGGAATGCTCTGAGAGCAGGTATAAACTAGATGAGTCTTGGGCTTATTAGTTCAGGTAAGAAATGTAGGGCTTTGCTTGTTCCTAGTCTGGAACCAGTTGACCTTGGTCCGTGCTTCCTTAGAGACCAGTGATTTGTTCGTGGAGTCTGAAAAGACACAGCAGCTCACTAGGGGGAAACCGTTCTCTGAAAAGCAAGCTTTAAACTTTCCGCTAGTTTCAACCATGTTAACCCAATGGGTCATGGTTTTAGTTCCATATTTTTATCAATATTTGGTATTTGCCATCTTTTTGTCATTTTAGCCATTCTTGTGTGTGGCTAGTGGTATTACAGGACGGTTTTATTTTGCATCTCCCTGATGACTAAAGAAGTTGAACCCCTCTTTTACATCCTTATTAGCCATCCTCTATTCTTTTTTGTGAAGTGGTTATTTAAGTCTTTGGTTCATTTTCTATTGGGTTGTATGTCTTTATCCTCTTAATGTTTAATAGTTTTTTTTTTTTTTAAGATTTTATTTATTCATGGGAGGCACACAGAGAGAGAGGGAGGCAGAGACACAGGCAGAAGGAGAAGCAGGCTCCATGCAGGGAGCCTGACCTGGGACTTGATCCCGAGTCTCCAGGATCACACCCTGGGCTGAAGGCGGTGCTAAACCACTGGGCCACCCGGGTTGCCCCAGTTTAATGTTTTTTTATGTTAAATTCCAGCTAGTAGGGATGCCTGGGTGGCTCACTAATTGAGCATCTGCCTTTGGCCCAGGTTGTGATTTGGGGGTCCTGGGATCAAGGCCTACATCAGGCTCCCCATGGGGAGCCTCTCCCTCTGTCTATGTCTCTGCCCCTCTGTGCCTCTCATGAATCAATAAAATCTGGAAAAAAATTCTAGCTGGTTAATATATAGTGTTATATTAGTTTCAGGTGTATAATTCCATCCACCGCTCAGTACTCATCACAAGTCGCCTCCTTAATCCTTACCACCTATTTAACCCATCCCCCCCACCAACCTCCCCTCTGCTAGCCATCAGTTTGTTTTCTGTAATTGAGTCTGTTTCTTGGTTTGCCTCTATTTTCTGTTTTCGTTTTCATTAAATGCTATATATGAATGAAATCACATAGTATTTATCTTTCTCTGACTGACATTTTACTTAGCATTATACTCTCCAGCTCCATCCATATTGTTGCAAATGGCAAGATTCCATTTTTTATGTCTGAATAATATTCCATTGTGTAAATATACCACATCCTCTTTATCTAGTCGGTCAATGGATAGTTGGGGCTGCTACCATAATTTGGCTATTGTAAATATTGCAGCTATAAACATAGGGGTGTGGGGATGTCTGTGGGGTGCAGTTGTTTAAGCATCTGACTCTTGGTTTTGGCTCAGGTCATGATTTCATGGTGGTGAGATCAAATCCCACATCAGCCTCCATGCTCAGTGCAGAGTAGGCTTGAGATTCTATCTGCCTCTGCCCCTCCCACTCGTGCTGTCTCTCAAATAAATAAATAACTTCAAAAACAAAAACAAAACATAGGGTTGTATCGTATACCTTTGAATTAATGTTTTTGTATTTTGGGGGTAAATAACCAGTAGTGTAATTACTGGATCATAGGGTAGTTTTATTTTTAATTTTTTTAAAAATGTCCATAATGCTTTCCACAGTGGCTGTGCCAGTTTGCATTCCCACATCCTCACCAACAATTGCTATTATGTTTAATAGTTTTTAAAAATATATATTCTGGATAAGAATCCTTTATCAGATATGTTAAAGTGAATAGCTTCCTACTTTATTGGTTTTTCACTATCTTAATTATGATTTTTGACATCAAGTAGGAATTTTAATATAGTCCAATTTATCCAGTTTTTAGATTTCATGGTTAGTGCTTTTGTGTCCTACTTAAGAAATCTTTGCCTCCTCTAAAGTCACAAAGATATTCTTCTGTTTTCTTCTTAAAGCCTTATTGTTTTACATTTTATATTTAGATATGCATTCCACTAGAATTTATTTTTGTGTAAGTTGTAAGGTAGAGATTCAACTATTTTTTTACCTGTATGGATATTGTGTTCATCTAGCACCATTTTTGGAAAAAATCATACTTCCTCCCCTGGATTGCACTGTTGCCTTTGTCATAATGTAATTGAACCCAAGGTCATCTGCTAGATGCACAGCAAAGACAAACATTGAAACGTTGAGTTATGTAGCAAGGAAAGGGTTTGAGAGGCAGCCAAATAAGGAGACAGGAGCAGCAAGCCTCAAATCTGACTCTCCAGAGGAAATGGAGGAGGTGGAGGAGGTGGAGGAGGAGAAGGAGGAGGGTCCGGAAATTTAAAGGCAAATGAAAAGGTCTAAGTAAAAAGTTGCATCTGGTTTAGTGGTCAACAGCTGAGAGTAGTCCCATTAACTCTTTGGTTACTGGTTTCAATAAATCCTAAAATGCACTTCTAGATACATTAAATTTTTATGCCATCCCGATAAAGCATAATTTGGAGTATTTCTTTGATAGTGTAGAGAGGTCACATTTTATTGGCACCACTTGAACATAAGCTGGCTATAAGCCCCAGAATTTTCTATATATTTTGTACGATTTTCCAATTTTCTAGAATATCATTACCTGGGTACTCAAACACCAAAGTTTATTCTGTTGTAATTAGTTCTTTTCTTATATCATTAGCCAGGTCCTACTTACATCTAACTCCTCTACAATATGTATGTGACATTTCTTCCAATGAAGATAGACAGGTCTTTACTAGAGCCATGTGATTTGTGAAACATAACTTGAATAGCAAATATTTTTGGTTGTAGTTTCACAGTTAGTTCTGTTTTCATTAAAAAGTTTTTAAAATTTAAGATAAGATTTTAGTTTCTTGATGTTTTGATCAACTCTATATATTATTTCCCAGTATTATTCCCATTCAGAAATTTCTGTGTTATGTTATACCTCATTCTGTGGACAGGGATATGTACCTTGAGATGATATAGCTCTAAAAATAATCCAGAAGAGTCAGTTGTTTATTTTATAATAGTTTCTTCTGAAAGGGAACTACCAAAATATGAGCACATTGTGTTCTTCTATAGGAACATTGTGTCTTTACTGGAATTCCTAAAATATGGGCTTGATAAGTGGGGCAATTGTGACAAAATTAACCAACTCACCGAATTAAACTCACACATCAATTGTCTGTCATCGGTACTGTCGTCTCTTTTGTTTACACTACTCCTTCCATGTACCAGGAAAGCAAAATGAAGAAGACCCTTGGATCCATACATTTGGGAAGAAGAGTCACCTTATTAATGAATAGGTCTTGTTTGTTTGATGACTGATTCTGTTTAATCCTGAATCTGAGACCTAATATTAGAGTAAGACAACAACAAAAAGAGTTTTCAAGGGCAACTAGCTGGACGCAAAGGGGAAATGGCTGTTACTTTGGTTGTTTGAACCAAAGCATTTCCATGCCTAAGTTGTTTGGAGGGCAACACAGTTTATATAATAGCTATATTAGAAAGAAATTGTATGACATATAACAGATCCTCAATGAATGAACAAATAGCATTTTTTATACTTTCTGAGGTGATAAATTCTCATTGCTTCTTTCACTCTCCATGGTCATAAACACCACCAAAGATTATATATTCAGTCATGTGGGTAAGCAACAATATAGATAGCAAAGAAAAATGTTCTACTTTCTCATGTTACTGCATATTCCAAACCCTTTTTTTCTGGCTAGTGACAGTGTACATCTACATAAAATATGAGATTAAAAATTTGGGAAAAAAAAGTTTTTGAAGTTAGCACTGGT